TACATATTAATTTATCCTTAAGCGACTCGTCAGGAAGCACAATAGCTTGAAAAAAAAAAAAAAGCAGGCATATTAACAACATACATCATTTACTACTTAAAGGAATAGTTCACCCATTTTTTTATTCTGTCACGGTTTACTAACTTTTTCAAACCTTCTTGAGTTTCTTTCTTCTGCTAAACTCAATAGAAGATATTTTAGAAAACGCTAAAAACCTGTAACCCTTACTTCTCATAGCATTTGTTTTTCCTACTATGGAAGTTAATGGTCACAGGCTTTCAGCTTTCCACAAAATATCTTCTTTTGTGTTCAACAATAGTGGCGTGGCAAGAAGTTCACTGGTTCGAGCCTCAGCTGGGTCAGTTGGCATTTCTGTGAGGAGTTTGCATGTTCTCCCTGTGTTGTAGCCTGGGGGTCTTCTCCGGGTGCTCCCCCAAAGTCCAAACACATGCGAACTGGGTAAGTTAAATTTTCTGTAGTGTATGTGTGTGAATGAGAGTGTATGGGTGTTTCCCAGTACTGGGCTGCAGCTGGAAGGGCATCCGCTGTGTAAAACATATGCAGGATAAGTTGACGGTTCATTCTGCTGTGGCAACTCTTGATTAATAAAGGGACTAAGCCGAAAAGAAAATGAATGAGTGAAGGCATTCAGCAGAATAAAGGCACTCATAATGGTTTGCAACCATTTGAGTAAGAGTATGGAGGACGAAACTTGCAAAAACAATAAATAAAAAAATATGCAAATATATAAATAAATGAGTAAATAAATCCATTAATTCCTGCATAAATAAAACAATAAAATATACAAATAAATAAATGTATATATGAAATCCACAAGTTAAAAAATATTTAATTTATTAATAATTAAACATGCTAATGACACGGTGTCTGTCAATCATCAGAAGCCAGACAAATTTAATGCAAAAAAATGTTCGCTCCATGTTTTGCTACATTTTTCTAATGATCAACCAATGACGGCATAAAGACAGCCTTAAGCTGCAGTCAGGCTCGGATTGGCTTATCGGGAGGACCGGGAGTATTTTTGGCCACGAGGGCCGGTGCTCCAAGCTGCCTGCACTCTGAGCAGTCGCACTTTTTTCATTTATTTATTTATTTGACCCTAGTCTTAACCTTTTTGCAGCCTGCAGGTTAATGATGTCCAATAAAGAAATCTATGAAGTCCGTTTCTTGTCAGTTGTTGACTTTTAATCTTCACAAAGAAATACACAAATGAAAATAAAGTAAACAAAGCATAACCTCAAATTTCATCCATCACGGATGCGGTAAAGAAAACTGTCTTCTAAAGAACTCACTGCCGTCAGACTTGACAGACGCAGTTTTTAAAGAGCCCGCACACAATTTTTAACATATACTACATATCCTCAATGCAAAATGCACAGAATATCCATCTGAACAACACATGAATATTCTAAGTTCTCAAATGCAAACAGTTCAAAACAAAAATATCAATAACTGAAGTGCATCATATAACATTAAATCCAACCAAATGGCTCCTACAATATTTAAATATTGCAGAAAAGGAAATTGTGATGTTTTAAAGAATAGTGGTTGAGTTTTTGGCAAAGCAGTGGCGCAGTAGGTAGTGCTGTCGCCTCAAAGCAAGAAGGTCGGTGGTTCGAACCTTGGCTCAGTTGACGTTTCTGTGTGGAGTTTGCATGTTCTCCCTGCGTTCGCGTGGGTTTCCTCCAGGTGCTCCGGTTTCCCCCACAGTCCAAAGACATGCGGTACAGGTGAATTGGTAAGGCTAAATTGTCCGTATAGTGTATAAGTGTGTGACCCCAGATTAATAAAGGGACTAAGCCAAAAAGAAAAGTAATGTATGTATAAATTAGTTATAAATGGGTTGTTTTTGTTCCAGTCACATACAATGTCTAAATATATATTACATATGGTACTGCTTATATTATTTCACCATCTGTACACTAATAAAAGTGGTGAATGTCCATGTCTGTGGGTGGGGCTGTGTTTTTTTCTCTCATTCGCCGTGCGGTATCAAACATTGCATGAAAAATACACGCTTAGAGCAGATCCTCGAATTAAATATCTCGTTTGTCGCGAGGGGCATGAATGAATTCCCTGAATGAAAGAGCCAAACTGCAGTTAAAGACCACCATTTAATAATTTGGCAAATAATTCGACTTCAGATGTCCATGTAAACACAGTAACTTTTTCCCCTGTGTGTGTGTGTGTGTGTGTGTGTGTGTGTGTGTGTGTGTGTGTGTGTGTGTGTGTGTGTGTGTGTGTGTGTTTTGACTCTGAAGCTCAGCGGGTGCCCAAATAGACACTCCCTCACCATCCCTCTTTAGTTCCTCCGACACTCCCCCCTAAACAGAGCTGGACACGCCCACTTTTCTGACTTTTTCCAAAGTAGTGGTGTAAAAACACCCTGCTGAAACGAGGGGCTTTCATGGCCCTTTAAGGTAAAGTGCAACAGTGAATGTGTGAAGCTGAAGTCATGCTGTTTTGAGTGGCAACTAATTTGTTTAGATGCAAAATCAGTGGCGTTCTAGACCAGAGTGATGGGGTGGGGGGGGATGGGGGGGGGGGGGGGGGGGGAGGCACTTGTACTTTTAGGGGGCACACTTTAACATACATCACATACATCATAAGTCACTCTGCAGTCTTCAAAGACAAGATAATTAAATAACCTAAACTCAAAATAATCTTAATTGTTTTTAATAAACAGTTTTAAGCTTACAGTTTTTAATAATAATAAAAAAAATATTTTAAGGTCAGTATTATTAGCCTGCTTAAGAAATATTTACTGTATATTTTTTGATTGTCTACACAACAAACCAGTTATACAATAACTTGACCAGGGGTGGATTGGCCATCTGGCAGTTCTGGCAAATGTCAGAAGGGCCGGACCATTTTTTAAATGTGGGCCGGTCAGTTTTTTTAATTAAATTTTATATTTATTTTATATTTATATGTATTGTTTTTACATGCAGGCAGCTTTTACCTCATGCAAGATGTAAATATTATTATGATGATGATGATAATAATAGTAATAATAATATTAATAAATGTTAAGTATTTAGCCCAATCGGCAACGACTGGCTGGTTTCGAGATGGGTGGACCCAATTAGAGGTTACGCGGACGTAATCGAAATCTGGCAAGAATGTCAAACAAACAGTGAGTGCAAAACAAGCTAATCGTCAGAGATGGGCTGTAAAAAAGAAGAGGCGGTGCCAAAAAGCTCAGAAAAAGCAAAAAAATTTCTCTAATATCAGACGCTACTAAATGCATATAATTAACTGAAATATTTTATGTGTATGGGTGTTTCCCAGTGATGGGTTGCAGCCGGAAGGGCATCTGCTGCGTAAAACATATGCTGGATAAGTTGGCGGTTCCTTGTAGATTTCATTAATATTAATATGTACAATTTATTTAATAAAATTTATTTCCCGATTTTAGTTTTATTTTTGTTTGATTCGAAATTACTTAAAAATGTCTGTAATAAAATCTAATCAGTTTTATTATAAGAATTAGCTATTGTTTTATTTTTTTATAATTTCAAAAAGAGAACATATTAATTAAATCCAACGTGATTAAAATGAGCATTTTTAAATTAGCCAGGGGCACAAGTCAAATGTCAGTCTAACCAAGGAAAGGCTGCCCTAGTCGCCGGATACACCCTTTTTTTAATTAAAAATAATACAATTACATACATAGAGACGAATAATACAAATAATAATAATAAAAAGTGTCCAGAAATACACACAAGGACAAACAAATGCCATGGTAACAAAAAAAACTGATGAAATAAAGTTACACCTTAAAAAGACACAAAGGAAAAATATAAGGATGCAGTTTTTGTTGCTTTTGGATGAAGAGAGTGCTGGATAGTTTCCAAATATTGGTCTAGGTCAATTTTGAACAGATCAAAAAAAGGTTTAGAGTCACTAAACTTCTGTTTGTGAATATGAAACTTCATGCATTTTCTTGTCGGCTTAGTCCCTTTATTAATCCGGGGTCACCACAGCGGAATGAACCGCCAACTTATCCAGCAAGTTTTTACGCAGCGGATGCCCTTCCAGCCACAACCCATCTCTGGGAAACATCCACACACACACTCATACAGACAATTTAGCCTACCTTATTCACCTGTACCACATGTCTTTGGACTGTGGGGGAAACTGGAGAACCCGGAGGAAACCCACACGAAGGCAGGGAGAACATGCAAACTCCACACAGAAACCAACCAACTGAGCCGAGGTTCGAACCAGCGACCCAGCACCCTTCTTGCTGTGAGGCGACAGCACTAACCACTGTGCCACTGCCTCACCCAGAATATGAAACTTGGCTAATAGAATACACAAATTAACTATTTATACTTTTTCCATGTTTTCTTTCGAGTCATCAAACAATCCAAAGAATATAATTTTTAAAGAAAAGGAAAATTCACTCATAATATAAGATTGAATAAAGATTAACAGATTTGAAAAGAATCTCTCTGTGAAGGAGCACTGCCAGAACAAATGAACAGAGACAGAAGAGTGACAGAAAGAGCAGTTCACATCAATATCTGTCAGGCTTATATTTCTAAAGGCAGGCCTTATTAGGATAACATTTGTGAATTAATTTAAATGTTACTTCTTTTACTTTATTTGTAATCAGATACTTGAGAGGGAAAGTCCATACTTTCTCCCATGGAATATTTTCAACAGTGTTGATCTAATAAGGTATTACATGGGGGATTGTTTGCCGGATACACCCGCTCGTCATGACCATTGGTTTTGATTCATGAAAAAATGAATCGGCTCAAAAGAGTCATTGATTCATTTCGGAAAAAACAACGAATCTTTATGCTGTTTCGATTCTAGATGCAAAGAAATGTAGCTTCAATAATTTCTAAGCAAATAAATAAATATTATAATAATATACAACGCAACGTATAAACTGAGAACGGAGAATAAATTAAATTTTGGCGCCATCCATAACCAATCAAAACAAATATATCGCGAGCAGGAATCTCCTTAACCAATCAGCTTTCCCCTTACTTCGAGCGTCACGCCTGATTGCAACACCTGCGGAGAAGAAAGTTTCGTCAGTGTTTGATCGAAGTTACCGATGAAATTGGAAATATATGAAGGATTACATCATAATTTGTGTCTAAATCTGCGATTAGGAAGATCTTCCACAGAGGTGAGCAGATGTTAGATGGAATGGGGCCCTCCATTCATTAAATCATGTTGTATATTGTGTGGAATTGACGACGCTGTGTGATTTCTCATTAGGTGTTACCTTTTTGTAAAAGTGTAACGTAGACTAACCATATTCCGTACACAACGATGTTCCGTACAGATGACCTTTTAACGTTAATCTCTGAATAAATACTTATGGATCGTAGGCAAGCTATATATCTGTGTAATCTTTAATTCTCACTCTTTCAGCCCCAACCACAACAGAGACATTCCTACTATATGTTGCCGAGTAAATTCAGTAGGTTTGTTACGTCCACCTAATGCGCTTGAAAACAGAAAGTGGGCAAGCTTAAAGTGCGAGTGTCGCCTGGGAGGGGAGACATTTAAAGCCCCGACAATATGCTTTTGCATTTAATTTATGCATCACACGGTATTACAGTCTTTATGAAGTGAATATTATGTTATCACAAATTGTTAAATAAATTATCTTTTGTTAAATAAATGCTTTGAAATGGGGATGTTTAAACATCAATTGTGGGTAAATATCGCATGTCGCAACTCTCCGCCTGAGAGACAGGCTGCAAACGCTGTTTGGATCCTCCTTTTGCAGTAATGATGTTTATATTCATAAAAGGTCAGTCAAGTTAGCTTCAATGTGCATGAATTTAATGTTTTTATATTTTAAATTGTCATGCTGTAATAAAATAAACATGATATAAAAAGTAAATGATTTTGAAGCTATTTCATTTAAAACTTTCATAAAAGAGTTATTTAATACATCATTAACTTCAAGTTAAACACAATAATAGTATATTCTGACATAAGATTCTAATAAGACTTCAAACAATGCCCATTTTTGCCAGTAAATTAAAGTTATGCGCCCTGTACGGAACACTATTTTAGTCGTGTACGGAACACCGTTAATACCTATCATCTTCCGTACACATGCGAAGGCGGTACTTATCCCATCTTTTCTCAAAAACTACTGGTCCAAAAGACATCAATCAAGATTTGGATTGTGCAATAGGTATTCCCCCAGAGAATGAACACACAAGCATGCTTATCTGGCTTTCAATGACGGAGGAGTGGTCGTTTGAGTGCGCTGAATAGCAAAAAGTGTACGGAACATGGTTAGATGGCTAAAAGATTTGTAATAGACTGTGGTATTATTTTACCTAGTGTAAGTAGGGTCAGGCTAATTAAATTAAACCAAACAATCTTTTTTTATATAGTATTTTCGCAAGTAATATAATGTTAAGGCACACGAATAACGTTTTTTGGGATTCACGTAGTTAATGTTAACGTTAATTGACGGTTAAGTTACTTGACGGTTTGTTTCATCCTGATTTAAATGTTGAGTTTAAAACTTTAGGAGTCACATGTTAAACTTGTGAGCTGCTGTGGATGTTTTCATCCACTCTGAGGTGATTTTGAGTCTTAATTTAGCCACATCGTTCTCTGTGTTTCAGCTAGCAGAATGATTTTTGGTGACCAACCTTATTGACACACATTTTAAGAAAATACTTTAATAATAAAAAAAAAACGATACACACTGGGCATTTTACTTTGCATTTACTGCATAAATATACTTTGGATAAATCTTTAAGTTAACCTCAGTCCTGAAAATTACAGGATTTTTAACTCTTAATTGCCTAATTCATAAATGATGTCACTGATTTGGTGAAAGAAAAACACGTAAAATTACATATTTTCAATATTAAAAGTAATTGTGGACTGGATTTTTTTTTTTTTTTAGCTTTTATTACTTTCTTGAACATGTGAAACAACATTGCCTTTAATGCATTCATTTTGATTTATTTTTTCCTTCACTAATTTACTGTGTGACTTCCATTATAACTACAATTGCAAAACCATGGCATCGTATAATCATGCATTTTTTATTGTTGGTGGGTTTCCCTGTTAGGAAGAGGTCAAATTTGTAATTTTCACTGTTGATAGTCAGTTGGCACCATTAGCTCTTTAGATTTCTGAATTTTATATGAACTATTGACCTTTTTATTCAATGCGGAATGCACTTTTAGAACTTCCGATTCAGTTGCCTATGGGAGAAATGACTAGAATAATAAATGGCAGAAAAGTGAAGTAAATAGGTTTATTTACTTCACTTTTCTGCCATTTATTATTTAAGTAAACAAAAACAAACACTGTATTTATGCACCACCAAATGTGGTTATAATGGAAGACAACATGGCTTAAACAGCCACCAACAATAAATTAGGGAGAAATATAAAAATCTAACAATGCATCAAAGCCAATGTTGATATTAATCATTCACATGTCCAAGACTGGTTTAAAAGGAAAAGAAAATCCAGTCCACAATTACTTTTTATATTAAAATGTAATTTTGTGTTTTTTCACCAAATCAATGACATAATTTGTGGACTTGGCATTTAAATAGTTAAAATCCTGAAATCTTTAAAAACTTTTAGTAGTTTTGATCAGGACTGAGGTTGATTAACAGACTTATGCAAACAATTTTGACATATTTATCTGATGCATTTTTACAGCAGTTTAATTTAGTAGATGTTTTAATCCTGAACATAACTAAATGGCAGTACTGTACAGTGCACAAGGGTTAACAACATCACATATTTTGTGGTTCTTTTTACTGAAAAAGTGGACTTTTTTGCAGTTATTTTCCTCGTGCGAGTCTAAATATCACAAAGTATTTGACAAATTTGCATTTAAACTATAAAACTATTACAGTTTTATAAATGTTATGAGACTAGAATTGTAAATAAAAAAAATTAAAAAAGAAATCTGAATAAATATTTTGAATACAAATTTATTATCTAACATTAAAAAAAAGGAATCTGGTTAAACTTGTTTTAAATGAAAGTGTATATAGACAACTAAAAAAAACTGTCCATCTCATTCAACTTTCCTCAGTCAGAATTTGGCCTCTTATTTGTCTAAAAGGCGCCTTCAATTGGTAATTTTCACAATTTGTATTGGCATAGCAGTCAAAAATGGGACAAATGTGCACATGTAAATACCAAATTCTGGATTTTGGCAGTGGAGCGTTAAGTCTTTCCAACCACCCGAACTCCCCCTGGCTAGGGCCTCTTATTTTTAAAGCTTAACCTAATATATATTCTACATGAAGGATATATGAATATGTGTAGAATGTGTGCAGGTGTATGCATATACATTTATACCTAGCTGAGTACTTTTTTTGTTTATTTTTATTTTGATGCCATTTGATATGAGACCGTTATGATCCATTTTTTGTGCTTGGATTCCTTGGCTAGATTTAATAGAGAATAGGAATATACATCATGGCGACTGGCGAGTTGCTTTCTGCAATGTCTTTTGGACCTGTTTAAAGCGCACTATATAAACCAATCCAAAATCATCACAGAAAAAACTGACCATCTTATAGAAATACCATTTGTAAAATGTCTTAATCACTCAGAATATAATGGATTAACATGTAGATACCTTTATAAAACATATGTGTGTCTGATAAAATATGCATTCCCTTACATTGTCCCTGCTGCTAAAGTGGAACTAGGGAATCTGAGCATAGATGCAAAGCAACAAATCAAACAAATGAACAAGCTTCTTTGTAAGCAAGTGACAGGGTATCAACGAGATGCCACAAGAAAACATTTTCATAGGTTTATTTATTTGTCGTAGGGCTGCACAATATATAGTTTCAGCATCGATATTGCAATTTAATCATTCACAGTAGTCAAATTGCAGTATTTGCAATGTTTTGTCTGTATTATAATTTATCATTTGCATGGTTTTTTGAGGCCTGTGACTAGATGAGGATTTTAGAAACATTTAAACACAAGGCATTGTAGCATTAGTAACTTTAAAAACAATTATTGAATTAATTTTATTTTTCAATTACTTTTCCTGAATACTGTTAGACTCTGGAAATGATTTTAATTGTAACTTTCTTTTATTGTATTTATTTATGATGTTAATTTGTTTATTAATGTTTTGCAAATGCATTCCCCTACAGAATCATCCCAATTTAAACTTATATGGGCAATTCCACGCAAATGTCAAAAGTCTTGCCATAAAAAATTATTTAGTTTTCAGCAAAAGACAAACCGTTTCTACATTTTTTGTGTTAGCAAGTATTTTAAAGTACTGTAAAAATACTCGTGAATGTATCTGTCAGTATTTCAAACTATTATATTTATTTTGCCAAAATCACACAAGTGGCAATTTCACAGCTGTCACATCCATAACGGAAATGTGTCACATCCATAACGACACTTTTTCTTCATAAATGCAAAAATATCAAATAAAATAAAACCAATCATTTTAATTCTATAGTGAGCCGACTTTTTTTGTCACATCCATAACGCATGTTTATTTTCCTAATTAAAAATATAAAACATGTTTACATATTGATATTTTTCTGCTCCCATAACTCTGTGGTGAGCTATTTTGGAAAATATTAACAGAAGTTTCGATATAATGTCAACATATACTTTCTGTGTGAAATTATGTTTTGAGTTTTTACTGCAAATGTCACATCCATAACACTGGAATTGCTCATATATTTTTTCTTTCTGAGCTAATCAAGTCATCTGGTGAAATTGTATTCATATTACAATACTGTATAAACTGGTGGTATAACAGATCACAAATCTCACGGTTCAGATCACTGTTTTTTTTTTTGTCACGGATCAGAACATTTTTTTGAATGATTAATGAACATGCAAATCACCATCCTTAATGATTAGTTGTGTTGGTGTTGAGATCCCAATCATTTAATAATTAATCATGCAGCTTACACTGAATGCATTAATGCAGGCTTAACAAGTAGTGACAGAAAACACCTTTAATGAAACTTACCACGTCCCGAATAACCTACCACAACTACTTCTGTCATCATTATATTTTACAGGAATACTTAAATGCTTTCATTCATATGATTTGAATGATGCGAGAGGCGATTTGTCTGTGATCATTACAAATTTAGGATTAATATACGAGTAAAAACAAAAGTATTAATTC